ACACACACACACACACACACACACACACACACACACACACACACACACACAAACCAACACATAGTTGTCGGTGCTTTGGAAAAGCCAGACTTCCCTACGAACTGTGTTCGTAATAGGCAGTGTTAACAGGAGGATCGGCTCGGTTGAGTTCCTTTTCTGGCGACTTTAGTGCAAACCACATGAATATCTCTGCCCAAAACCGATTGCCCGATTCGCGGCCTTGAAAACAACCCCAATGAATAAAATAAATGAATGAATGAACCAACGAACAAACAAACTTCTAAAAAAAAGGAATGAATGAACAACGAAACGAAAAACAAGAAATGAATACAAATTTTCAAATCAAACTCGAATCTATTATATACATCTTTAGGTACACAAGGGGTAGGGTTTACGGTCAGGGTAAAGGCGACGATGAGTTGCTTGTTAGAGTTAGAGCTTTTGCACAGTTAAATACGTACACAATTGAAAAGTTCACACACGGACACATGAACAAATGCGTTTATTTTCAAAGGTCAGCTTCGGTTTTGGCGGTTTGTGACACGTTGGTAGCTTTATCCCCTCAAATGAAAGAAAATTTGGCTAGCCCCATGACAACCAAAGCGATGGAACCGAATCGATCTTGCTAATGGTAACTGCTTTAAATCCTTCAGATTAGTCGTAATCCACAAACTAATACAATATCAACACAACACGCACATACACACATAAACACACAGACACAAATGCACAGGCAAACATACCCCCCCCACACAGTTGTGCACCTACCACATCCGTGAGGATCTTGCCTGAATCTCTCATGACGTCGTGCTGGGCAAACACAAACACACATACAAAACACTGCCGGAAAGACACACACTGAGCAGGCTCTAGGCCAGCAGGGCGTTCACTTCCAGCACGGGTCCGACCACCGCCCTCAGCTCTCGCCCACACTCCCGCCACGACAGCACATGGCCCAGGACCAGGGCCAGGACGAGCTTCACCAGCAGCAGACGCACAGAGGTCGGGGAAGACGCGCCCACCATCAACACCCTGCGGAGAACCAGTCCCAGCACCGTCTTTGGCGCCATGGTAGGAGCTGTAGCACAAACACTGCCAGCCAGTTCACTTATGAGTTGTTGTTTTTTTCCAAGAGTCTAAAGAAAGTCTCTGGTCTTAGTCTTAGTCTCGATGCAGATTACCAAGTCTCCCTAAACAGAGTCAGTCGAAATTGAAACCACGAAACATCTACGGAGACCTGATATAATTTGTTGCAGACACACCACACGTTAATAGTGAGTCTGAATTGGCCACAACATCAATGTATGTCTCATTCAAGTTCACCCAGTCCCCAAGACGATGTCATCCGAAATTAAACCAACGAAAAATCTACGGAGCTCAAGCAGAACTTGCTCCAGAAACACTTCAAGCTAGTTCACTTTTAATTCTTCCAACTAGACTCTACACATAATAGAGTCTAAAAGAAGTCTTAGGGGCCAATATATAAGTACAGTCTCCGTCTCGTTTCAACTCATACAGCCTCCCTGGACTTAGTCAACGAAAAATTATCATACGAAATATCCACGGAGAATGAATTGTTGAAACACCACCAGCCAGTTCACTCAGAGATTTCCAAAGTCAGCTTATCTTAGTAATGGAAATCTTTAGGATAAAAAAGCCTCCTTTCCAAGCCTCATTCCAGTTCATCGAGTCTCCCAAGACAAAAGTCTACGAAAATCAAGCCCACGAAACGTCTTGGGAGCCCAGGTAGGACTTGGCTTGGGATGTCAACAAGGAGGTCAGCTATATTAGAATATCCACACAGGAGTCGAAGTACAACAACAGGTGTCCACAGGAGGTGTTGGGCGAAAAATAGACCGACTGCTCCTCGTCCGTTCTGTCACATTTACATTCACGCTCAGCTTCCCAATTCACATCATGTGGCGAAACCTAAGTGAGTTTTCCGAATCGACAAACAACGATCGTGAATTACTCAACGATTGAACGAACGTACTTGGCCACTTGTTACGGATAGGTTATTGTAACGTTAAGGACGAGTTATTGTTTTTCGTCCACAGATAGATAAACAGTAGAAGAAGTTTTTAAAAAAATATATAAACTATACCGCCACTTCTGTAACACAATATGAACAAAACAGATAAGAAATACCCGCATTTTCATGACATCGCGGGTGTAGTTCAATTTACACTTGAATGATAAAACAAATAAAAACAAAACTTCATTGTCAATAACTGGAAAATAATTAACTGTAGGTACGCAGCAGAGTAAGGCTGTCAACGGAGACAGCACATAATGATGTCCAGAATTAAGCAAAGAGACGGAGACGGAGATTGAGAGAGAGAGAGAGAGAGAGAGAGAGAGAGAAAGAGAGAAGGTATACAGCAGCACTGATGTATCCTAGAATACACACGGACGTCCTAATGTTAGTACGCCAATACACAGCCACGT